CAGTTTTTTGTGCACAGCACTAGTGGCTGCCACCAATAGAAAAATCAAGAGCAACATAACCACTTTGAGCCTCCATTTTCTTTTTTTTTTTTTTTTTTTATTTTTATTTTTTTAAATTTATTTATTTATGATAGTCACAGAGAGAGAGAGAGAGAGAGAGAGAGGCAGAGACACAGGCAGAGGGAGAAGCAGGCTCCATGCACCGGGAGCCTGACGTGGGATTCGATCCCGGGTCTCCAGGATCGCGCCCTGAGCCAAAGGCAGGCGCCAAACCGCTGCGCCACTCAGGGATCCCGAGCCTCCATTTTCTCATCTCTTAAATGGGCATAATCATAACCTCATATGGTCCTCACGTCCCGATGTGGTGTAAAGATGAAGTAAGGTCACAGCACAGTTTGCTCGGGATCTTAGTAGGTATTAGCTGCCGTTACTACTTCTGTACAAGGCACATAAGTGCCGGGACCAGATTTTGACCCAAGGCCAGTCTGTGCTCTAAATATTTCATAAGGCCAGTAGGGTGCTAATAGTGGGGGAGAGGTGGGTCAAGGCCCCTGGCCAGGTCCTAAGCCCACTTTCCGCCCTGCAGATCTCCAGAGTGCGCCCCCACTTCTCGCTGCTCATGCCGCTGGGACTGGGGCGGCGGAAAAAGGCGCCGCCTCTGGTGGAAAATGAGGAGGCCGAGCCAGGCCGTGGGGGGCTGGGTGTGGGGGAGCCAGGGCCCCTGGGTGGGGGTGGGGCAGGGGGGCCCCACATGGGCCTACCCCCGCCTCCCCCGGCCCTGCGGCCCCGCCTCGTGTTCCACACCCAGCTGGCCCATGGCAGTCCCACTGGCCGCATCGAGGGCTTCACCAACGTCAAGGAGCTGTACGGCAAGATCGCCGAGGCCTTCCGGCTGCCAGCTGCTGAGGTACCACTGGGGAGCTGGGCACCGGGGTCCCTGATGGTGGGCTGAGACCTGGGCGTACATCCAGCTCGTGAGCCACGGCTCCAGTGCTAAAGTTATGCCCGCTGAGGCCTGCTCCCCAGTGAGTTGCGGGGACCTGGAGGCCAAGCCTGGGTGCTGAGTTCCCAATAGGCATTGGGAGGCCCATGCCCCAGTGGACTGCAGAAGTGCATGACCAGGGCTGTTTGTGACATTCCCATCATGCATTGGGAGACTAGTGCCTCAGTTGATTATGGGGTCTGGAGGTTAGATGCGAGATTCATTTCTCTATGATGCATTGGAAGGCCTTACCCCAAGGACTTTGGGAGCTGAAAGATGGGAAATAGTGAGGTTGAGCAGGAGGTTGATGCGAAGGTCTCAGCAGGTGTGATGGGCAATCTGTGCCCCTTCATTCATTCCACAAACCCTCACTGAGCATCCGCTGTGTGCCAGGCTCTATGCCCTGGGAGCAGCAGGGAAATCCGAGCCCTAGCAGAGCTGCATCCAATTGGGGGTCACTCTGGGGTGGTCAGGCAGGGACCTTCAGCCCTTTCCTAGCACCCTCCTTCCCCCTCGGGTGGTGGTTAGCAAAGGGTGAGGGAGGGAGGTGAGGGTTGAGTGTCTCCTACCCACGCAGGTGATGTTTTGTACCCTCAACACCCACAAAGTGGACATGGACAAGCTCTTGGGGGGCCAGATCGGGCTGGAGGACTTCATCTTTGCCCACGTCAAGGGGCAGCGCAAGGAGGTAGAGGTGTTCAAGTCAGAGGAGGCGCTGGGGCTCACCATCACTGACAACGGGGCCGGCTATGCTTTCATCAAGGTGCCTGGGGTAGCTGGGGCACCCCGAGTCCTGAGGGTACAGGTGGGTCATAGGACCCAAGGGCAGAGCCATGGGGGCTGACCGCTCCTCTCTGCACAGCGCATTAAGGAGGGAAGCGTGATCGACCACATCCAGCTCATCAGTGTGGGTGACATGATTGAGGCCATTAACGGGCAGAGTCTGCTGGGCTGCCGGCACTACGAGGTGGCTCGTCTGCTCAAGGAGCTGCCCCGAGGCCGCACCTTCACGCTGAAGCTCACAGAGCCCCGCAAGGCCTTCGGTGAGGGCCTGCTGCCTGGACCACCGCCTTGGGCCCCGTCCCTGGGGTTTGGGCCGCAGTGGCGGGGAGACACCAGCAGGTGGCGCCCAAGGCCAGCCAGCCGCAGTGGAATGGGGGGTAGCTCCGCCTTGCCCTGGGGAGGGGGTGCTGGCTCTCCGCCCAGCCTGGGAGGAGGGTAAGAGCAAGGAGGAAGTTGCCCCCACACCCAGCTTCCCGGAACCATTAGACCAGCCAAGCGCCCCCAACCCTGGCGAGTGCCCCCCCCCCAGGCCTGAGAAGCGAGGCTTGGCTGCCTTGTTCCTGCACCCCCACTTCTCCGTCTGGCTTCACTAACTTTCTGGAATGAGCCTGAGGCCCCTAAGGTGGGGGTGGGGGACTCTCAAACACTTCCCCAGGCCGTTTGGGCTGGTCCTTGGCCCCTGGCAGCTGTGTCTCCCCTTGGCCTTGGGGAGAACCGCTCAAGACCCAGGCCCCACCCCTTCCTGTCCTTCAGGCCCTGGGAACAGGACCCCCTGTCTCACCTCCAGCCTTTTCCATTTTTTGCCCCTGGCTGTCCTTTCTCCATCCTTGCTGAGCCCAGTAGGGGGCCTGCACTCCTGGGGTCAGATGGAGGGAGGGCAGCCCCCCAGAACCTGCAGAAGCTTGGAGAAGGTAGAAAGGGGTCTCTGAGGCTAGGCTGCCTGGGGTCCTGCCCAGGGCTTCCCAGACCCTCATCCCTTCCCTGCCTCTCGCAGACATGATCGGTGTCCGCTCAGGGGGTGGCCGTCCTGGCTCTGGCCCCCAGCTGGGCACTGGCCGAGGGACCCTCCGGCTCAGATCCCGCGGCCCTGCCACAGTAGAGGATGTGGTGAGTGTTCTGGCCCGGCCCCGGACATCCGTAGGTGGCTGCAGCCTCGGTTGGCGGAGGGGCTTTGTGCACTAAATTCAAATCTACCTCTGCCACATTCCAGCTCTGGGACCTTGGTTGGGCAAGCGAGTCTCAGTTTCCTCATTTTTAAATAGTGGGCTAGTAAGACTATCACAGGGCTGTGGGGAGGATGAGCTGTGGGTTAATACACGTAGAGTGGTGAAAAGAGCATCCCACACCTAGTAATATAATTATTATATTATAAATAATATAATTACAGATTTATTCATGGTTTTGTGATGTCATTGTTCTTCATCCCCCCGCCCCCCCAGCCGTCAGCCTTTGAGGAGAAGGCGATTGAGAAGGTAGATGACCTGCTGGAGAGTTACATGGGCATCAGGGACACGGAGTTGGGTGAGTGGGGAGCCTGGGTCCGGGGGGTGTGCAAGTCTGGGGGAGAGGGCTTCTAGGTCCTATGGGGCTGGGTCTGCCCTGAGTACCTCTGTCATCTGTGCTTCCATCCTGTCACCCCCCACACCCTTGTCCAGCGGCCACCATGGTAGAGCTTGGAAAGGACAAAAGGAACCCAGATGAGCTCGCCGAGGCCCTGGACGAACGGCTTGGTGACTTTGCCTTCCCTGATGAGTTCGTCTTTGACGTCTGGGGTGCCATTGGGGATGCCAAGGTCGGCCGCTTCTAGGCCTCCCTCCAGACCTCTGTGACCTGGCTCTGCTTGGTGGGAGCCCCCAGTGGGAGGGCCTCCATGGCCTGGACCCCAGCATCCGGCCTGGACCTTGCTCAAGGGCCCAAGGATGATGCAGAGTGGCGGTGGGGCCCAGCCTCCACCCCACTCCAATCGGTACCACCCCTCCCCAGCTCCCACCCTGGCTGGGGTCCCCGGTCCCCCCTTGCCCTGCTTCCCACTTACCTCAGCCGAGTCAGGCGCAGGGAGGGGGGAGGGCCCAGCCAGATGGGGCGGCCACCCTCCGCCTCCAACACTTTCCGCATCAGCTGCCAAACTGGTCCCTCATCTCCCTGGGGCCTGTTTGGGGGTCGTGACCTCCCTAGTTTCCTGCTGCAGGGAATGCAGAAGGGGGGCATTCCCCCCTCAGCAAATGCAATAATGCCCTCCTCCCCGCACCCCACCCAGAGAGGAGCCCCCTCACCGTGGAGTCTGTTACCTCTGCATCCGAAATACTAGTCTGCTGTGAACCCCCCAACCTCCCTGCCTCCCCTGCCCCGTGTCCCCCTCAGCCCAGCCCCGGATGGAAGAGGCAGGAGGGAGGATGGCGGTGGGCATTTTATATCTGAATTTGCTGTCTTAAACATAAAGAATCTATCTGCTGTTGGACCTGTGTGGCGGCCTCAGCTTTAGGGTGGGAGAAGGGGGTGAGCCAGGGCTGGGAAAGAATGTAGCAGCTGAAATCCATCCTCCTCAGGCTCCAAATTGAATTAGGAGCCTGGCTGGGCCTCCCCCCACCCGTTCCGCCTGATGAGCTTTCTGGCTGCCAGCCACAAGGCTTCCAGTCAAAGGCCGGAGCTGCTAGGCCTACTGAGGTTCAAATCTTGCTCGCCTAGAGCCAGGCCTCCTGTCACCTCGAGCCTGATGTGAACAGTGGGCGTGAGGCTGTTGGCGCCCAGGGCCACAGGGAGCACCAGGGCTGGGAGGCCGGGAAGGCTGGCTTGGGAAAAAAGAGATGAGGGGGCCCAAGATGGAAGCCTGCCAGGGCAAGTGCTATGGGGGGGGTCCCCAAGACTGAGGGGAGCGGTCATGGTGTGGCTGCCACTCCTGCGGGCTCCTGCTGACTGCAGATGTGTGGGGTCTGCTGGCGCCCATGGTGCACCATGTTCGGCCCTGGACATAAACCCTGCGTGCTTGTTTTGACAACCCACTTCATCCTCCAGGATTGAGTGGAGATCGGGGAGGGGGGTGGGACCCTGGCCAGACCTGGAGGGAAGGGCAGGAGTGGAAGCAAGGGGAACCAGGCCAGAGGTCCCTGCAGGAATGTCTCAGTTCTGCCCGCTCCCCATTTTCATCCCTACTTTGCACAGGCGGGCACTGGGTCTGCCTGGGAGAGGGGAGCTTGGGGGGACTGGCCGGGCCAGAGGTGTGTGTGCAGCCCCCGGTTGTATTCTTGGGTGGGGGAGGGAATGGAGACAGCTGTTGGGGGGGTGCTCCGTGTCTATGCTGGTAAATAGCTCCGTGTGAAGGGGTGTGGCTGTGCGTCTCGGCATTTAGACCGTAAGCCTGTGTCTATCAGGGTGTCGGTGCGTGTGGAGCGCGGCCATGTAAGCGCAGCTCGAGGTGTCCAGGGGTGTATGTGTGTCTCTGGGTGTTTCTGTTCTAGGGTAGGTGTTAACCAGCTAGATCTCAAGATGCCCTGGAGGTGCCACCCCTTGCATCTTGGGGGTGTGGAGTGTATTCGTGGGGCCTGTCTTGGACCATTCGGGGGTGTCTGGGTGAGTGTGGCTGGTGGGCTGTCTCGGAGGAGGTAGGGATTGTCTGGGTGTCTCCGTGCTCCAAGCATTTTCTCAGGGGATTGCATTTCAGCATGTTAAGTTAGAACCAGTGACAATGGGGATCTCCGGGGGTCCTCAGGGTGATGCTGTCATTGTGTTCAGGGGTCGGATGATGTGGCTCCTCCTGTGCTGGGGACAGACTGGCAGGATCTGGTCTTAGGATGTGAAGAGGTGTGACCCTGTGTCTTAGAATGTAAGACTGTGTGTGTGCCCCTGCTTGTCAGGGCAGGATGTGAGGCTGCAGTTGTGTCCACAGGTGGCTTGGGACTTGTGTGTCCCAGGACAGAGTCCCTTGCCCCCTCTTCGCCTCCTCTCTTGCCCCTCCCAGGGTTTGACTCACGCTGGCCCTGGCCTGAGCTTTAAGCCCCTGTGTAAATAGTGGGCGGGTCTCCTGGCCAGGCTGGGCCAGACCCAAGCTGGTGCACAAGAGGCACTGCCCACCACCACCTCTGCGGCCACCACCCCAACATCGTGGAGGCTTTGGCAGGGCAAGAGGGTGGGGCTGCCCCCAGGCGGGGTTAGCCCCCCCCACCTCGCAGTCCCCCTGGGGGCAGTGGCACCCCCTGCAGCTGCCCCAGCCCGCCCTGGGCGATGCTCACATTTTCCAGTGTTTAGATTTTATCCACTTTATTAATGAGGCAGGCGAAAAGGCCCGCGCCTGGGGGTGGGGGGAGGGCTACTCCCGCCCCGCCAGCAGGGAGGGGGTCATGGGGAACCAAGCCAACTCCCCGAGAGCCCCCGTCCTGGAGGGGGCAGCTGGGGTCCAGAGTGGCCCCTGCCCATTGCCAGGAGCACAGATGGGTCTCAGCCACCCTAGGTCCCCTGCGGGCGCAAGACAGTGCAAGATAGCCAGAGCGGCCCCTGGAGGCCAGAGCAGCCGGGTGGCGGGAGGAGGCAGGGAGCTGGGGAGCCGCCCCAGGAGGGAGGGAGAGGGAGCGGCCTGCCGGAGAGCGCTCTGGTGCAGCGGGCGCGGGTGCAGCAGGCAGCAGGGCCAAGCAGCAGGCGATGGGGACCTGGCGTCCCAAGCTGTGTGGGTAAGAAGACTGGGGCCTGAGGATCTCTGGTGGGGGAGGAGGGGGTGGGAGGATGGGGCCATGGCCACCTCAGTCTCTCTGGCCTGTGTTCTTGACTCTCAGCCCCTTCTATCAGTCCCTGTGAGTCTTATGGTCTCTCCCCATCTGGCCAGCAGGCAGCTCTGCCCTCTCAGCCCTCACCTCTGGGGTATCAAGGAATGGGGGTTGCTGGGCCTGCCTTGAGGCCTTCAAGGCAGGGACTTGGGGGGGGGGATGGGAACCACGGGCATCCACGATGAGGTGGCCGTGGTCAGGAGCAGGGCCTGGGTGAGACAGGAACAGAACTCAGAGATGGCAGTGTGGGGGACAGGGACTGGGGATAGAGAGGCGCCCGTGGTGGCAGAGGTGGGGCTGTGAGCATCACACATGGGACTGGGGAAAACGTGACCTGTGATGGTCAGAGACCGGGCAGTGAGGTCAGGTGGGGCCCTGTGATCAGAAACGGGTGAGTGGGAGTCAGACGAGCAGGGGACCGGGAATTCGCTGTGCTGCGAAACTGAGGTGGGTGTCAAAAGTGGATCCGAGACGTCCAGAGGTGGGGACAGAGACAGGGAAGGCTGGAGCTCAGGGAACCAAGGTGGACAGAGAAGGTGGCGAGGGGCCCTGGCAAGAGATGGGCTGATGGGGCAGAGGAGGAGGAAGGGGTCGGGCACGGGGCAGCCGGGGTCATCCGGGGCGGCCGCAGGGAGAGTGGACAAGAAGAGTGCCGGGCACCGGGCAGGGCATCGGGCATCGAGCGCGCTCTCGGCGGGAGGGCAGGCGCTCGCGGCCGGCCTCACGGTGCCTTCCTCTCCTCTCCTCTCCTCTCCCCAGCCCCCACCCCAGCACCTGACATGAGTCTCTGCGGGCCCCTCAACCTGAGCCTGGCCGCGGAGGCGACCACGTGTGCGGAGCCCGGGGCCCCCAACGCGTCGGCCTGGCCGCCGTCCGGCCGGGCGAGCGCGTCGCCGGCGCTGCCCATCTTCTCCATGACCCTGGGCGCCGTGTCCAACGTGCTGGCGCTGGCGCTGCTGGCGCAGGCCGCGGGCCGCCTGCGCCGCCGCCGCTCGGCCGCCACCTTCCTGCTGTTCGTCGCCAGCCTCCTGGCCACTGACCTGGCGGGCCACGTGATCCCGGGGGCGCTGGTGCTGCGCCTGTACGCGGCGGGCCGCGCTCCGGCCGGCGGCGCCTGCCACTTCCTGGGCGGCTGCATGGTCTTCTTCGGCCTGTGCCCGCTGCTGCTCGGCTGCGGCATGGCCGTGGAGCGCTGCGTGGGCGTCACGCGGCCGCTGCTGCACGCGGCGCGCGTCTCGGCGGCCCGCGCGCGCCTGGCGCTGGCCGTGCTGGCCGCGCTGGCCTTGGCGGTGGCGCTGCTGCCGCTGGCGCGCGTGGGCCGCTACGAGCTGCAGTACCCGGGCACGTGGTGCTTCATCGGCCTGGGCCCGGCGGGCGGCTGGCGCCAGGCGCTGCTCGCCGGCCTCTTCGCCGGCCTCGGCCTGGCCGCGCTGCTCGCCGCGCTCGTGTGCAACACGCTCAGCGGCCTGGCCTTGCTGCGCGCCCGCTGGCGCCGCCGCCGCTCTCGACGGCGTCCTCAGGCCTGCGGCCCCGACGGCCGCCGTCACTGGGGGGCGCGCGCGCCCCGCTCGGCCTCCGCCTCGTCCTCCTCGTCCGTCGCTTCGGTCCCCGGCGGTTCCCCGGGCCGGGGCTCCGCGCGCAGAGCCCGCGCCCACGATGTGGAGATGGTGGGCCAGCTCGTGGGCATCATGGTGGTGTCGTGCATCTGCTGGAGCCCGCTGCTGGTGAGGGGCGCACACGCCCCTCGGGCCAGGCTCCTTCCGGCCCCCTCCTTGGCCCCCCCATCCCCTGCCATCCTGGGGCACCTGGGCTCTCGCTCCCTTCCCCGCCCCCCGGCCCCGCCCTCGGACATCCCACCCCCCCGATGACCCCGGCCGGGGCCTCCTAGGGCCGCCTACCCAGGCGAGCCTCCTCCCGGCCCCACCCGCTCGAGGCCCGGACGCGCGGTGCCCGAACCCCTTCCAGCAGCACGCGCCCCGCTTCTCTTCCCCCCCCCCCCCGGCCCCCGTCCTTCGGGACACCCGGCGCTTCTCTCCTTTTCTGTTCGAGCCCCGAGCACCGCAGACCTTTGCTTCTGCCACGCCCCCTTCGGCCCGCTCCGTAGCGCCTGCTTCACCGAGACTCCCATCTCCCCAGCCTGTGAGCCTCTGCTCCTGCTCACGGCTCCCTTCCCCTTCGGCCGCGCGCTCATCCATCCCAGCCCCACCCTGGCCAGTCCCCTTCTCCCTACACCTGCCCCACCGCTCACACCGGCTTCTCCCGCAGGTGTTAGTGGTGCTGGCTGTCGGGGGCTGGGGCTCCAGCTCCCTGCAGCGGCCGCTGTTTTTGGCTGTGCGCCTCGCTTCGTGGAACCAGATCCTGGACCCCTGGGTGTACATCCTGCTGCGCCAGGCGGTGCTGCGCCAACTGCTTCGCCTCCTGCCCCCGAGGCCCGGCGCCAAGGGCAGCCCGGCGGGGCTGGCCCTAACCCGGAGCGCCTGGGAGGCCAGCTCGCTGCGCAGCTCCAGGCACAGCAGCCTCAGCCACCTCTAAGCGAGCCCGGAGTCCCAGAGGCCAAGTCAGCCCACCCCGGACCCAGGACCGCAGCGCGGAGCCTTCGGGGGAATAAAGCCGTTTTGCGGACCTGCGCGGGGCCTGTGTCGGGTGGGGGCCGCAGCACCCCTGTGACCGCGCGGGGGCGACAGAGGCGCCGCGTGAGCCTCCGGGGTGTGCAGTTCTAGGACTTTCCACGCGGAGGCGCGGAGCTGGAGCCGCCGAGCTGGAGCCGCCGGAGCATGCGCCGAAGGCCGCAGCCCCAGCCCGAGGCCCCGGCTGTCAAGAGCGGAGCAGCGGAGCAGCGGAGCAGCTGAGCCGGAACCGAGGCTTTTTGCTCCTGCCGCCGCCAGGACTGACCCCAGCAACAATTCTCTCTTTGTGGCCCTGAGCGCCTCCGACACAGCCGCAAGGCCCTGCCCCCGAACCACTCCCATCAGGGCCTCAAAACTCCAGAGTCCCTAACAGCTCCCAGCCCTGTCCCACCCCGGCCTGCCCACGCTCCGCACCACAGTAGGAGCCCGGAGTCCCCACCTTCCCTTAACCCTCATCACGCGACACCCCCCCCCCGTAACCCAGGGCATCACCCCGGCCACGCGCTGGACCTGCCCCCACAACTCTCCCCACCTCCAAGTACACGCCCCCCCCGCCCCGCGCCAGCATCACTGCACACGCGAGGAGCCGGAGACTGCATGGATGGGGCAAACCCCAAAGGCCTTTTTAAAAACTACTGAGAGCTTGGTCGGGAGGGTGGGGGGGGCAGGGGAGAGGGCTAGCAGCCCCCGGCCACGAAGTCGAAGTCCCGGAAGGCGGCCTGCTCTGCGGCCGTGAGGGGCCGCGCGTCGCGGGGCGGGCTCAGCGTGGGGGTCTCCCCCGTGAACTCCTCGTCGAAGTTGCTGACATCCGTGCGGCCTGACAGCGTGGGCACGAAGGGAGGTGGCAAGCGTCGGGCCAGCAGACTGTCCCAGACCAGTGTCTAGGTGGGGGAGAAGGGGGAGAGAGGGAGGGGGTCAGCAGGGGGAGTGGGGGGACGCAGGAGGTGCCCCGGCCGGCCCTGCATCTGTGGGGATTAGCATAAGGAGTCACAGAGGGAGGGGTCCAGTGGGGGCTGGGGGCCCAGTAAGGATCACAGTTTATGTATGGGGAGCCCTGGGGTGGGGGAGAGGGAGCCCCGGGTTCATACCCAGGAACCAGGCCAGCCTGGAGGAGATGTGGGTGTAGGAGGGTAAGTGGGCATGAAGGGAGGGGAGGAGATGGAGGGGACAGTGTTGGAGGGAAAGTGGCTGTCTGGGTAGGGAAGAAATGACTAGGCCCTGGGGGTGGGGGGGATGACCAGGTCTCTGGTGGGGAGTTGGCCAGGCACATGGGGTGACCTCACCCTATAGAAGGGCTGCTTTTTCACATCCTCAGCATCTCTCTCACTGGAGCCCAGCCTCCGCTCGGGATTCCTCCGCAGCAGCTGGAGGGAGGACAGTTGTCAGTCTTCCCCCTCCTGGCCCCAGAGCCCCTGCCCAGGCCCAAGGTGGGGGTGCTCCTCACCCTGCGCATGATGCCAATGGCTTCAGCTGATAGGAAGCGTGGGTAGCGAACCTCATCATTGACTATGCTGTCAAATACCTCTTCCTCGTCGTCCCCTGGAAATGGGGACTGGGGACAGAGAGAGCCAGGGTGAATTAGGCCCCTCCTCTGGCCACTCCTCTCCCAGCCCCACCGAAGCCCTCGGCTCCAGCACACTTTCCCCTGGGTGCTGGCTGATGTGAGAAGGGAAGTACCCCATTTTACAGATGCGAACATTGAGGCAAGGGGGGCAAAGCCAGCTGCCTCCACCCCACAGCACACAGAAGCCCCGTCTGATCCCACAGCTAGCACAAGCAGTTTCCAGCATCATCCCAGGGTCAGGCAGGGTGGGCGTAGCCTGGGGCCTTACCTCACCAACCAGCATCTCATAGAGCAGCACGCCCAGCCCCCACCAGTCAACAGCCCGCGTATAAGATGTGTCTGTTAGCACCTCGGGTGCCAGGAACTCCGGGGTCCCACAGAATGTGCTGGTCCGGTCCCCAAAGCCCATCCCTGGGGGCAGGAGGGCCATGTGAGGTTATGGAGGGAGGGGTGCTCCCAGAGGTAGGCCAGCCCAGCGTGGGGTGGCCCGCCCAGCCAGCCAGCCCCATCCCAGGGTCAGGGTGGGGGGTAACCCAGGGAGGGCTGGGGACTCCATTCCCTCCCCGCTCTGTCTAAACCCCAGAGGCCAGCCCTTCAGATCCCAACCCCGCCCCTCACCCTCCTTGCAGAGGCCAAAGTCTGCGATCTTGACATAGCCCTCGGTGTCCAGGAGCAAATTGTCCAACTTCAGGTCCCTGTGATGGGTTGGGAGGGGGATGTAAAGAGGGATGAGTGGGGGTCTGGGCCCTGCCTGAAGCCTGAGGGCCCCCGGTGGGCGGAGCGTGCGTACAGGAGCAGAGGCACGCACAGGGCACACACCTGTAGACAATCTTGTGTTCGTGGAGAAACTGCAACCCCAGCACCACACAGGCTGAATAAAAGCTGCAGAGAGAAGCTGGTGTGACGGAGCCAGGCCTCTCAGCCAGGAAGGAAGGCCATAGAAGCCTGGCTCCCACATCCTCAAAAGCCCCCCAGACATCCCCCAAAAAAACTCCAGGAGGGTGGGGGGAGGCAGGGGCCGAAGGGTGGAGGGGAAGGGGGTGCTGCCACTGCCTGTTGGGGGTTGAGGCACGGGTGGGGAGCTCACACAGCGCGAGGTTCAGAGAACACATCACTGTGGATGTGCAGCATCAGATCCCCGCCGGCCGAGTACTCCATCACGAAGCACACGTGCTCTGGTGTCTGGAAACAGCCAAACAGGTTCACCAGGAAGGGGTGTCCTGCTCTGGTCACTGCTGCCAAGATCCGCTTCTCACACATCAGGCTGGGTAGGGTAGGGGGCAGGGGTCAGAGACCACAGCAGTCCCCTACCCCATCTCCCACACTCCAGGGTCCTCGATCATCAGCTGTTTGCTGAGGACCTCACATAGCTGTGCAACCTTGGGCAAGCTGCCTAGTATCTCTGAACCTCAGCAGCTTTGTCTGCTAAACACGCACCCGGAAGCAATCTGTCATCCTAGTAACAGCCCCCTGATATCCCTTTAGGGAACAGCCAGGGTGGGCTAATGGGAACACCCCATTCCCCTGGCCAGGAATTGGTTTGGGAATGGGCAAGCCAAGGAAGTGGGGCTCAATCTCAGGATTTCTGCTGGAATTATTAAGGAAGAAGGGCTAAAACTACTGGATGAGTCTTACACGGCTGGGGCAGGAGGCTATCTCTGTCCCCTTGAGAAGACTGCAAGCAAAGCCTACAAAGAGGAAAGCCGACTGAGAGATGTCATCTGAGCACCTGGATACAGACATGCCTGAAGGTAGTCCACTCCTGGACTTTTCTGATCCAGAGCAATAAATTCCTCTTTTGCTTAAACCTATCTGAGTTGGGTTCCTGATCAACAAAAGGAGGTCAGAAAGCTTAGGGACAATCTCAGCGCCTCTACTGGGCCTTCTTGCAGGGGCCCAGGTAGTGCAGAATGCTCTAGATGCATCCTCTCACTTAATCCACCTGACCACCCTGCAAGAAAGGCATTATAACTCCCCTTTTATAGACACGGAGGCTGTGGATCAGGAAGGCAAAGTGACTTCCCCAGACTCTCCAAGCACATTTGTGGCAGAGGTGGGGTTTGAACCCAGGGCCCTGACTCAAAGCAGAGGTCGGCCATGGTGCCATTAAGGGTACAGGCTTCAGAGCCTGAGTCCCTAGGCTTGAATCCCCAACCTGCTGCTTACTGGCTTTGTGACTTTGGGCAACTCGCTCAACCTCTCTGTGTCATCAGCAGAATGGGAACCATAATGGTATTTACTTATCAGTCTGTCGGGGATGAATGAGTTCCTGAACATAAGGTGCATAGTGGGTGCTTTCTAAGAGTTAGTATCTTAAGTACTAGCTTAATTAGTGCCAGTGACTGTTATGAATCACTGTCACAGCAGCTCCAGAGAGGGCACTGCTCTGTCTCCCATCTCCCTGAAGAAAAGACTGAGGTTCTCAGAGGGCCTGGGCTGGGTCCCCACCTCTCCACCTCATCTCGGGCCACAATGTCGCCTTTCTTCAAAGCCTTGATGGCGAACAGCTCTCCGCTGGGCCGGAATTCAGAGAGCAGCACCTGGAACCACAAAGGGCAGCGATGGCCTTAATGGCCAGCCCGGGAACTCCCTGTTCCCCTAACTCCTTGCCCCCTGCCTCACCTTTCCAAAGTGACCCCGGCCCAGCACCGCCAGGAATTTGAAATCCTCGAGGGTCAGGGGCGACTTCTTCAGAGGGCTGTGGAGAGAGGACACTGGTGGGGACAAGGACAGCAGGCAGGGGTGGTGGGTGGTGAGCAGGGGAGGGGTGTCACCTGCTCAGGGCGGGGCCTGGGGTCTCCTGGGTCTCCGAAGGCGGCTCCGGGGTGGTGGTAGTTTCCTGGATTGGGGAACTCTGTGGCAGAGAGGGGGAAGTCAGAGGCACCCATAACCACAATAGCCACCGAGGCTCCCGTCACCTCTCTGACCTCACTTCTCCTTCCACTTGCCCTCTTGCTCACTGCCCTCCAGGCACGCTATCCCTCGCCCCATGCCCTGAACACACCAAGCACGTTTCCAGCCCAGGGCCTTTGCATAGGCTATTCCCTCTACCTGGAATCACCCACCCCAACATCTGCACGTCTCCTCCCTTACCTCCTTCAGGCCATTCTTGCAGATGTTGCCTTCACAGGTGGTCAGCTGACCATCATATTAAGTAACTAACGGACACCCCACTCCCTGCCATACTCACACATACTCCCTGTCCCCTTTCACTGCTTTTTTTTCATGCTATAAATATATTTTACCATTTACCTATATATTTCCTTTATGGGTATTTGCCCTAAAAGCTACTTAATTCTTTATACCACATGGGCATGTAACTTTGAAAAGAGTCAAAATTCATATTGTAAATGGAAGAGGGTGGGGGGGGGCTGGGTGGCTCAGTCAGTTAAGTATCCAA